ATTATTTCAAAAAGTAAAGGACAATGTTTGTCGCACATCGGCTGCAGGTGGCACAGCACTGCAAGTAAAACCTCAGAACAAGACAAGTACTTCTAAAGGACCAAGATGTTATAAGTACAATAAATATAGTCACTTCGCGAAAAACTCTCGCAGCAAAGGCAAATCAAAGCGGCACATTAAGAATCTAAGTCATCGAAGAAAGAGACGGACTCTATATACAATTATACATTCTTTACAGCTCTTATCGCAGGTAATAAAATTTTACGGATTGATATATCGACTCCGGTACATGACATCCACACACATGAAAGATCCGTGTAATATGTTTTCCAAAACTCCGTTTAATTCTCAAATTATTGTGGCCAACAATGAGAGAATGTCAGTAGAAGCGATAGGCACAAGTTAAACAAGTTAATAACGTTCTCGCCAGCAATACGAAGAGGAGTGTAAAAATAACGGAAATCCTCTATGTTTCTAAACTAACCTCGAATCTGCTTTCAGTCAATAAAATTGTAAAAAACGGACTCTCGGTAACATTCAACAAACAAATAAGAGATGCTACTAGGCAACTGGTCGCTTCGTTATCAAACGGGATATAATGTATAAACTAGATCAACCGTTGGCAAAAGTTAAACTAGCATCAACTGCACAATACGCAGACCTATAGCACAAAAGATTAGGCCACTTGCATTCTAAAGCAATGGATTTACTAAAAGGTCTAGTCAGAGGATTAAAGTATAAAGAAGAAATCAGTAAGGCCCTGCGTAACTTGCTTATAGAAGAAGAGCAGGCTAAACTTCCTTTTGCAGGGAATTCAGGTAATTGAGCTAAAAGCATCCTGGAGCTAGTTTATTCGGATCTATGTGCTCCGATAAAGACGGCATCGATTGGAGGAGCGAAATATTTCTTTACGCTGATTGACGATTATTTCAAAAAAATTTTTCTTTATACGCTAAAACAACAACAAAAATCAGTTTCCAGAGATATTCTGAAATTTCAAGAAGCTCGTAGAAAAGTAAACGGAAAGAAATATTCGAACCTTGCGGACCGACAATGGCAAAGAGTACACAAATGATAACTTGATGAGTTTCCTGAAAAAAGAATAAGGAGTCAGACATCAGACGACGGTACCCCACACCCCCGAACAAAATAGTGTGGCGGAACGCTATAATCGGACCATTATCGAAAAAGCTCGGTGCCGACTTTTTAAAGTCAATCTAAAAAATTCTGGAAAGAAACGGTTTTAACGGCTATATCTTCTTAGATCACCTATAAAGGCGCTATAATCCAACATGACCCTGGAGAAATCATCATGGAGTGAAAGAAACCAGATCTCCGCCATCTGAGAATAGCAAAGTTCATGTCCACATTTCGAAGGCTTTGAGACAAAAATGGGACAAAAAAAATCGAGTTCTTGTAGGCTACTGCAAAGATAGCAAAATTATCGTTTGTATAAACTTTATACACCTCAAGAAATATTCAAAAGGAAACACGTCATTTTCGCTGAGGAGCAGCTGCGTCATGATCCAGTTCACAAAAAGGTTGATAGTTCCGGAAATTTACAGGAGCGAGAGTCAAAGTTTTTTCCAGTTACGGAAACTCCGGACGAAGATAAAGCAGAAACTGGACCGGTAAATGAATCACAGGATTTACGATTGAAAGTGAAAGCGCAGAAACAGTTTTCCGCGCATTACAGTCATTCGCGGAAAACGACGAGGAGGAAGATGATGAAATCCCACCGCAGCAATCACAAATACCAAGAAGATCTTCAAAGGAAAAAAGAGAATGAATGACTTCAAAAGAGAATGGATGACTTCTTTACTTACTAATAATAAGTTGAAGAGTTTCCTGGGACAGATCCATTGTCAATTGAGGAAGCCTTGATTACCAAAATTCCAAAAAATGGTTTGAAGCTATACGAGATAAATTGCGGTCACATGAAAAAAATCACATATAGGAAGCGGCAGTTCTTTCTCTGAATAGGAAAGCTAAATAGATCTTTAAGAGTAAAAGAAACTCATCTCTTTCAATAGTGACGTCGTGCGATATAAGACGCGTTTAGTTATGAAAGGATGCGTACAGAAGAAAGAATTAGAATACGAAGAAACCTACGCAATGGTAATAATAAGATACAACTCTCTCGATCAGGCACCTTTTCGGACTCGCTGCAAGGTACAATTTGGGCATTGATCACTTATTGTTAGATGTTAACTGCATTTCTTTAGGGAGACCTAGACGAAGAAATATAACTAAAATCCTAGTAATAGATCAAGACAGTAAGATATTTGTCTGTTGGAAAATTTTTGTGGTTTTGTTAAAAAAGGTCCTTGTTAAAATTTTTGTGTAAAATAATCAACACATACATGTGTAGATGTAACATATGCCTGCTATGTTAATTAAACTTAACAAATTTAAAATGTAAAATTATTAAAATAATTTAAAAAATATATTAAAGTAACACAATTTAAATGTATTTATTAAATGTATTAAAATTTACAGAAAAAGCATGTTGATTTTACTCTATAACAGAAGTGGGAATAAAAATTTACAGAAAAAAAGTGTTGATTTTATCTTACAATCTTAACTTCAACATAAAAGTTATGTTAATTGTACACATAATTAACCTCAAATTACGATCAGAATTACATTTCCTTTCTGTTGAAATATTTTAACATAGTATCGGTGTTACCATTTAACACATCCATATTATGTTATATTAACACAAAAATTTGAGTGGACCGTTTGGGACATGTGATTTATGTTATATTTAACACAAATTTTCCAACAGTGTAATAGGTTAAAGAAAGTAATTTACCGATTAAAATAAAGAAGTCGCTGTTGAAACAAGAAAGTTGATAATAAGGCGCTGACAAGTCTAATGGCAACAATTCTTTATCGTATCGTGACCGGACCGTGACTTGACCGGTTAATGAGAATCGACCTTTAATTTAAAATAAAAGATCAATGGCAGACTCGTGTGTATATCAAAGGAATCAAGTTGAAAACTTTCTAATCGTCGTGATATATGTAGATAACCCAGTCAGAAATGATTAGTTGATTCGACGTTGAATCAATGTCGAAAACCGAATGTCGAATCAACGTCGTAATTCTGGTCGATTCGACGTCGAAAGCGTATAAAATATCACCGACTATTCAACTTATCGTTTCAACGTCGTTTCAACGTCGAAGGTTGAAATTCGATTGAAATGTAGTATATTATATATTTTATATATTTTTTATATATGCAGTGTTTGTCTGGATAGGTCCTAAATATAAAATTTATATATATTATTTATACATATGTGATTGATCGCGCAATTACGCCATTTCTTAAACGTCCATAAAATTATTTTGTACAATTTACATAAACAATGTCGTAATATTTTTTAGGATTAAAATTTAAATTGATCGAATTTTATAAGTGCGCACTCAAAACAGCGCTATTAATCGCTTTGACGTTGAATCAACCTTGAATCGACACTGGACATGATCGATATTGCAGGAATATCGACTTTCTTATCGACTCAACCAGCTGTCAACCATATCGACGTTGAATTAACCTTGAATCAAGGTTACATTTCTGACTGGGAATGTGCTGATTCTTAGCAATAATCAAAAGCAAAAACGCTTTATTAAGGAGAAGCTCAAAGAAAAATTCAAGTTGAAGAACTTAAGCAAAGTTAATATATAATTGTCTAGGGATTCGAATAATTCGCGAGATCGTCAACGAAGCCGAGTATATGACGCTAACTTCGGAATCCCAAAAGCATTATGGCTATAAAGGTTAGTACGAGAAGTCTGTCCTAATCCTGAGAAAGGAGCTATCAAGCTTCTTTGTGATAATAAAGGGTCAATCGATTTCTTAATGACCAGTGGATACAAGCCTCGCACTAAACATATAGATACCAAGAATCACTTCATCCGTGAAAAAATTGAGGCTGAAAAAATAAGGGTCAACCACGGATCCACGCACCAACGGATCTGTTGCTGGCTGACGTAATGACGAAAGCATTGGCGCAACCACATCGTCAGCTTATCAGCAGCTTTGGGATACGTTCCTCAATTGATGCGAATTCTAGTGAAGATGATGGAATTTAGAATTCACACCGTTTGAGTTTGCTGCCTTATTGCCTAGGAACAATATTCTAAGGTTCTACATCTTCCAATTGGGGCTATTTCTTTCTATCATTTTTAACTTTTTAAAGTTTCACTTTTTTATTGAACTTTCTGATTTGTTCAGTTATATCTGTATTGTTCTCTGCGTTATACCGAATAAAAGGTATCATTCATTGGCGTTCGATGTAATAATTGTGTCTCGTTAATCCGCTCCGAACCACAGGAAGCGTGTGTATTAGGTAATAGCATAATTAACTGATCACTAAAGTGGAGATGCATTATAATGTTTTTATGCAACACGTGCATGGAAAGTGCCCCATTACGCACGCTACGCGTGCGTGATAGACCACTTTCCAGGCACTTGCAACATAAAATAAGGGAGTGTAAGTCGTGTGTAAAGATGAAAATTACTTCGGCCGAAGGCTCGTGCGTAAACTCCGCACCCGGGAATTTTCATCTTACCTCACTTGTTACACAAATAACTATTGCTGTTAACAGACATGACATTTATATATATATATATATATATATATAATATATAAATGTAAAATATTTATTAAATAACAAAAAATGTATTTATAACTTATATACTACGTTTTACAAATAAAACAAAAAAAAATTTGTCATATTTATTTTTAATAATTAAATAATATGGTTGTGGTTAAAAATATATTAATAAATAAATAAAGGTACAATAGTTAAATATGTATTCGTATCAATATCGATTATATAACTATTTAATTTGGATTAATAATTTGCTTATCTGATCCATGTTATCACATTGAAATAGAACATGACAAATCAGAAATATAATTTTAGACGGTATAAATCCCTTTGACCGACTATTGATTATAATACCAATAATAAATCGGTGTATATTACAGAACAATGGCGGATAAAAACAATGGCGAATTCCAACTCCAATCGACAGGATCTAAACCAGGATTACCGCGTATCAATTCTACTGAAAGAATCGTAAGTTCCGGGAATAAGGGGCTGGATTGCACTGCTCAACGCAAATTTGTCTCTGCATTGGACACGATTAACCATATATTGATTGCATTGGTGACGGTATACCTTGTGTATCACGCAGCGAAGGAATATTCCGTAACAAATGTACACGTAATCCTCTGCACTATCGGTGTAAGTATTCCACGTCTGTTTTCCTTTCTCGTTTATTTTAAAATATCGTAACTCATACATTAATAAAACTAAGTTACGCTGCATATAGTAGGCGACCAATACTCTCACAGGCCCTAGTAATCAAAAGCGTCAAGGCAAACTTTGTAGCGCTTTTTTCGCTGGAATTTTCTACGAGTATTATTTGGATTAATTAGAATACTTTTGTGTAAATGAACATAGAATATAGCTTTATAAAAAAAAATTTTTTAGATAGAAAGATATGACTGAAAATTGACAATAGCTACATATACAGCAATCTTATATTTATCGTTATTATGTACAAAATTGAAATGTCTGCTTATTGTACAAATTTAATAACAAAATAACTTTTATTTAAATTATATGTATAACAGAGAGAATTTATAAAAGTATATTTTTCTCATATTACAAGTAATATTATTCCATTCGAAAATTTTGAAATTCTAAAATTTTGTATTCTATAATTTGAGTTGTTTTGTTTATGGTATATCTAAGTACCCAGATATACAGATATGGTATATTTTTATACCATATACGTAGAAATATATTAAATTTTGCTTCAGCCTTGAGCCATAAATCGATCACAATAATTAATTTCAATTTAATTATTTAGTAATCTATATCAAAACGTTTAATTTAATAAAAAAAGGACTTTGTCCATGCTTGTTCTTTTTTACAATATATCGCTTGTTTTCTAATTTTACACATTATATGATGTAATATGATATAAAATGGCCTACATACATACATGTAAAAAATAATGACGAAATAATGATGTTCGATCATAAACATTTTATAAAAATAGCTTTTACTATAATTTTCTTATGGCTTTCTCTACAATTTGAATGTTTCCTTTTATTATGTAATTTACCAATATAAATACGCACAATGCTGCTAAAAAAACTCATTGTGTGGATTATATTTTTCCATAAGCTACAGTCGTATCAGTTTTACGACCAAATTTGCAATAAATCTTATCTTCTTCTTGTAATATGATCACTACTCGCCCACCCTTTAACTGTAACGATAATCGCTTATTCTTGAAGGCAGAATTTAGACATAGATGAATTATTAATTTTGATCCGTTTTTATTTATTAACGATTTCTCGTGTATTACACAAATATATTTCTCTAAAGAATTTATTTTTACAAGCGGCTAACAGAATAAACGTAATTAATTTTTCTTTTCGCTTTTTTTGAACGTAATAATATATTTATAAATGCAGTTTTCATTGTGAAAATCGTATATTTTTCCACGCAGAGATAAATCCTATAATAATTATTCTCGCAATTTTACATTTCTTTATATCTCTTTCACATAATATATTTAAGAAATTTTTCAATTTTTTAATGCTTACGTGCTTACCTAGTCAATATCTATAAGTTTATTAGAAATACTTGCATAATTTTTCTGCAATATATATGATTTCAACCAAAATATGTAAAACAGTAGTTATACGATCCTATCTTATCAAATTGACTTTATTTATAAATGTATACAAATGTATCGAACTACTTTTTTATAAGAGCAACAAAACATTAATCTGAATTAATCGACATTGACAAAGTTGTACAATATTTTATACTCTACAAATATATTTGTATATTTAAAAAATGCTGAATAGGGGAGACCGGGACGAAACCGTCACTATTTTTTCGGTGCCAATTTTTAACAACAAGACAAATAATTGTAGTAAAAAGTGGTATACCATTGTAAAGAGTGAACCCTTGGCTACAAAATTTATACGGACATTTTTGGTCTACGTCGCTTTGTTCAACTGGTATAGAGTGAAAACGACAAAATTGCAAAAATTGAAATGTTAAAATTGCCGGGGCGGAGTCGTCACTCCATTCTCGGACTAAATTTTAAATAAAAATTCATAATTCTAATCATTAAAAATAATAGGATACATTTTATTAATTATTTTTTAGTAGAAAAATGGAAACATTAATTAAAAACACGATGGCGGAAAATAATTACAAGAAAAGCGCACACTTATGTGCCCTACGCTCGCACGTTTCTCGTCAGCTCTATTCTGTCATCTCTGAGCACACGCAGTTATACATATTATCCAAGTCCTCTCCGGAATCCGATCACTGCTGCTTCTTTGACTTTGATTTTCGCTGGAAGCCTCTATGATATGGCTTGGTAACGACTTTGCCTTGGACCCAAGTTTCAAGTTTGGTCACTCATAAAATATTAGAAATTAATGAAAATAAAAGAACTTCACTAGATTCGTGTTCATCATGCATTACTCTTTAGAATCACTTACTTTGAGATATGGAGACACAATAATATTTAAGATATTACAAATTTTCGACGCGCAAAAAATTTTACTTTCGACCTCCAAAAACCCGTTTGCCTTGATAAGAATCACAAAATGGCACATGACCTCACTAAACTCCTTTGGTCACGTAGGCACCATAAGCCGCGTTTACAGTATTAATGGCGAATTTACACTATAGATTTCGAGATAATTGCAATGACGACTCCGCTCCGGTGACGACTTCGTCCCGGTCTCCCCTATTATTTGTTTCTTTGTGAATTATAATACGAAAAACATAATTACAGTACAAAATTTTAGTAATTTTTTTTAAACATGCTTTAAAAATTTACTTTCCAATTTTACAAGAAACGTTTGCATTAAAGTAAAAAATATAATTTATAAAAATTGTTCAATCGCATATAATCAGATTAAATCGAAAGTGACAAGAAATACACTCGTATTTATTTCTTCGTTACTACGTACAATGTAACAAGATATTACATTAAAACGGATGTCATAATTGAGTTTTGGTGAAGCCTAAAACTCAAATTAGACTATTTGCTCCTTCGCGTTGCGATCACGTATCGAACGACAATAACTGGGTCTCCTCTCTTCGGGAAAGTTTAGACCAAGTAAGATAGCCAAAGAACTTCTAACTACTTAGCCAATCGACTACCCAAACTTCTCCCCACGAATCGTTCACGAATCGATCTCATATCCTTTCAGTATGTCCTGTTGATGTCGGAGGCCATTATCGTCCTGGCGAGTGACAACGTGCTGACCTCTTCTTTGTCGCGTCGCGCCAACAAACATCTTCACTGGATTTTACAAGCCATCGGACTTATTCTGAATCTGGTCGGCGTGGGCGTGATGTACAACGTCAAATCGGTACACTTTGTCTCAATCCACGGTATTACGGGCCTCGCCTCACTGGTCATCGTCTGCGTGATGACTATCTTCGGATATCCAGTATGGATCGCGTGGAAACTTCGCAAGTACATGCGTCCGGTAACTACGAAGTTCTTTCACAATTTTCTGGGCATCGCTGGCTTTGTCATCGGTATGGTCTCGCAATGTTACGGCTACGAAAAGTCCTGGGTATACCGTGCAACGAAACTGAGGTACGCCGACGATACTCTACTTGTTCTCACAGTACTGATCACGATATTATCGTTAAGAGGCGCGCTCGTCTCTCTCTATAGGCAAGCCATTGATTGCCTGAAACCAGTTTGCTCCTCCACTTGATACATAAGAATGTTGGCCAGAATCTTTTTCTGAGAAATTATAGCGCGTAATTTATTTTTGTTATTTACTTCTAGTTAAAATAATATAAAAAATTACTAACTTGTCACAAAAAAAACATTTTGTTATGCAATTTTTTGATAAAATATGTATATAATCTTACATATGCTAATTATATAAGAATGCTAGTTAAATAAACATTAAATGTACATATAATATATTAAATCTGTATTAGATATTAGATAGAACAATTGATATTTAAAATAATACTTTAAAAAATCACCTTAAATCTAGGGATTTGGGAGTATGTACAAAAAGTATTTCAAAAGTTATATATATGTAAAGACATTTATATATCAATAAAGATCTGAATTTTGGACAATACTTTAATATATATGTATGTAATATAATGAAATTAAAAGCATATCTCTTTAGAAACAAATATTCTTATATTTAACCCTCTACATCTAGATTATTTATAAAATGGATCGCGATATTGCATTGCGCTTTTCCAATTGGTTTTTTTATTACAACAAATTATTTTAGTAACTGAATAAATATGTTTTTTTACGAAAAACTCACAGATGCATCAATAATAGTTTTATAGTAATATTGTAATCAGAGAAATTCGTACACATGTAGTCATTGATATTGAGGCGATTTAAAGCTGTGAGAGTTTATTACAACCAGCTAGAAATGATTAGTCAAATCGAAGTTGATTTGATGTGTATGCGTTGGTGAATGATGGATGTCGAATATCTACTGGTTGATATTTGTCATCTTCGACCTTTCATAGTTATTTGAGTAATTATGCAGTATAGGGGACCACCCTCTGATGACCTTGACCTTGATATAAGTTGTCAAAATCACCCTTCTGAGTGACCCTCAAAAGGTTTTAGCCCTCGGTCATTATTCGTTAAAAAATTATTAACAAAAAAAAGTTTGAAAAATATATCAATTATTTTGAGTATTGGAAGACCAATATGTATGTGGAAATAGGGTAAGTATGAACGAAGGAAAGTCATGTAAAGCAGTGAATCGTTGATAAATAGAATAATAAATGGAATAAATAAAATTTTTTTTTTTTAAGCGGAGATTAGTTGGTATAGAGAAGTATATATATGATTTTATGTTATAAAAAAGTATAAATACGAAGTAGTCTCTGCTTTAACCAAAAACACAAACATTCAGTTTTAAAACTTTTAGGAATAAAGTCTAGATCCAACATTTCTTTAAAATAAACTGTAACTATATACATGACTGCGTCGAAGTCGTCCGAATTTCTATAAAATATGAAAACATAATAATATTTATTTGATATAATTATCAATTAAAATTAAAAAAATTACCTCGTGATTTAAGTAACGAAATCTATCTTTAACATTGCGCTTCCTCTCATTTGTATATGCATTTTTTAAGGTAAAAGCTAAAATGTCATGCAAAAATTTCTCGGAAATTGCATTTACATATGCAAAATTTACAATAACCATTCTATTGTGATCCTTGAAATTTTTATTCCAAAACATTTTTCGTATGAATTTGGGCCATGTATTCGCATTGCCGACGACATCTTGGACCGCAAGCCAAGGATTATTATTTATTTGTTCAACTGAATACATCATTATACAAATTACTGTTTTAACACACTGGCTACACGACACACTGGCTACGCGTAGTAATACTAAGTGACATACCAAGAGCTGCGTACAGGTGAATCTCATATGAAGCTTTGTTTACATAAAAGTATAAACATATAGGAGTAGGAATAGTACTACTACTCAAAATTCTTCGTGTTTATATTTTGCTACGTCTCTTTCAGTTGTTAGTGACTATCGAAACACGTGCGCGCGTGTGAATGTGTGTATGATAATTTTTAATTTAAAAATTAAATTACAGCATATGTCCAATGTCTAAACACTTTATGCTATATTAGGCAGTAAGTGTCAACAATAGTAGGAAAGGTAAAATCAAGGACAACTTATGCTTAGTAAAGAATGTAATATAAAAGTATATAATTTATATACGGTGTCAGAAAATTACATTTTATTCATTAAATTTTTTTGTTAATAACTTTTTAACAAACAATGACCGAAAGGTAAAACCTTCTGAAGATCACTCAGAAAAGTGACCTTGACAACATATGTCAAGGTCAAGGTCATCAGAGTCCCCTATACTGCATAATTACCGTTATTTGTTATTTTTATGTTAATTGTGCAATTATGAATATTTCTATAAGATTTTTATTGTCTTTTGATCAGTTCTATATCGAATTGATACAAAATCGAAAAGCATAGTATATACGTTAATTATATACTGAGTATTTGTGCGATATAAAATTCGCGCGGGGAGGACGAAAGAAGCCAAGAGACAATAGAAATGTAATAGAAATATTCACAATTGCTTAATTAACATAAAAACAATTATAATGAGGTCATACATGGCACAAATTCTTATTATTATATTCGACCATTCATCTATATCAAATTGATATCAAATAGACGTGAATTCGGTAATCATTTCCGGCTGAGAAATGGAATCAATCCAAATATATATATATATTTTTTTATAAAATGTGTCATATATTTATCAATTTAAAGATTGACGAACTTTCTTGAGAACATTATTGTTATAATGTTATAGAAGAAACTAACATAGATTATGGTTTTACAAAAAAAATAGTCATTTAAATATGTAATTTATTCAAATATGAAATATTAATAGTATATACACAGAATCTATTAATTAATTATACGAAAAAGACTTTGAATTAAGAATGATCCGAAGAGCACATTAGTCGTCAAAAATGTCATTATCAATAATATATGTAAGTAATAGATACTTTATGTTACACTTGACAAAATGCAAAGTTAAATTGTTCAATATTAGTTTACAAAAAATTTTGTATTTGCGTCATAAACTGAAGATTATATTACTAGTATTTAAATTTTAGTACTTAGATCGCACGTATTTGGTTGTTTTTCACATCTACTATTATTTCTGCTAGTTGTCTGCTGTAATTTATGTTTTGTTGCGGAGCGGGCACATTGTTCTAAAAAGTGTTCAGATTGTGGAAAAGTTAATTGTGTACTTGTACTAGTAAAATATCTCGCGAATAGAAGTCTGAGCCCTTTGGCGGTGAAGATAATGTTATTACGGAATCGAATTGCGAGATGTTCTACGCGCGAGCATTCGGTTACAGCAGGGCATGCCACTTCAGCTCCTGACGGCGTATAAACGAGAGAGAAGTCGAAGTTTAATTAGACGCGAAAGCGCGCGGCAGTCTGAAATTTCGAAAGTCGTAATTTCTCTTTGCTGCCAGACCGTAGTCTGTTTCCTGTTTCCTATCCGATATACTCACCTGAATTTGATACTGCGTATCCAATGCTCCGGTTAATCGGATCAATTACTTTACCGAAACAACTCGTATTTTCTAAGTATTCACCACAAAGAGCGACATGCGTTTAGAGAAAAGGCGCATGGAAATCGCTCGAAAACTCCGCGAAAAGTTCATCTTATAATTTATTTATTTATTATTTCTCTACAAATTACAATGTTTTTCACATCATAACATATAAATGGCATATATTAATGTTTATTAATCGCCAAAATAAATTTCAAAAGGAAATATATTTTTAAATTTTCGATTTACTAATAAAAGTTTTTGTAGATATATAAAACTTTTAATAATTTTATTTACGAAATAATGAATTTTCTTCGCCAGTATATAAAATAACAATTAAAGTAATTTAAATCGACCATGACTGGCAATATATAACGTCTTTTCGATGTGAACATTGAAAAACTGTGA